AACGGCAAGACAAGAGGAACGCCCTTCGCCACCGTAGCACAGACGGCTAAATTTCAGGAAAGATAAACATTCGCAAACATTTTCAATTCATAACGCGAATCTTAACCCCTTATGTTAACCAAGTTTCCTGAATCAAAGGGGGTTCCTCCTGTCCCCGCGTCTTGCCAGGGTGGGGTGTATAAGCCATCTCTACTGGGGTTTTAACAAGGTTGCTACGTAACAAAATATAAATCTCAAGCGAATGCAAGCACCTATGAGTGATGAAAAAACCATACAAAATATTAGGATGCCGAACACAGAATACAGGGTGGACTCGAAAAGAAATGTGCATTCCCAGAAATGCACACCACGACTACTTAGACTGGACTGCCTTCGCTAGTAAAGGTTTCGACCTGGGGTGTCTAGAGCAGTCAGCATTTCAATATAAATGTTGACCTAGCTGACTTGCAACACTTACTTGTTGGCGAAGCGCAACCAAAAGACCTTGTGCGCAAAGAGTTCCAGGGGTTGCACCGAGCGCAGAAGGACGACGTAGCGAACGTCAAATTTAACCCAATGCTTGATATCCTCACGGTAATAGAGGACAGGGTCCGTCAGGTAGCGACTGGCGATCTAAGCAAAATAAAACAGTGACGGTCAAAGAAGGCCTTGGGTGCGGCTGCTAGAATTGCAATGAATGGCGGCAGTTGCAGCGGAAAAAAGGAGGAATTCAGCATCTGGGCTGAAGATATATATACAGCGATTAAATTCTTTATTCTAACCTGCGGTACAGAGTCTACAAGCCGAAGGATCTGTGAAAGGTTGTCCGTAATGAAGATACCCAGTCCACGACCGAGGTTCCATGGCTTCACAATCCAGAGGTTTGTGCTGCCTTCGGGTATGGGTGCGTGACCGAGAGGGTCGGCACCCACTTTAAAATCTCCTCCGCAGATGCGCCAACACTGCGAGGAGTTGGAGCAGAAGTGCGCTTCTCCCTGCTGACTCGACTCATCGCCAGCTGACTATAAAAACAAAACTGTGCCTACTTACAACATTTAAGTAGATATTAAAATGATCTTAAAATGTTGCTTAAGAAGCTGCGTAGATCAAAAAAGGGTGCTGAGACAACAAAGAAGTTTATCGGCGAC